CATTGTCTTCCTGTAACACTTGTTGGATAATGTCATTCATACGCGCTCCTGCAATTTGACTTCTTTCACGATTGATCATTTTCAAGCACTGATATGATAAAAAAAACCCACAGTATCAGCAAACAGGATTAACGAGCAGCATAGCAGCTGTGCTAGCCAACGAGCACGCTTCATTACTTATGATCAGCAAGCACATGCTATCAAAAGGGACGCATTAATCTTATTCGTAAAGATAGCAAGAACATTTCGAAACTAAATAAAATTATATTTACATGTAAATAACACACTAAGGAAAGAAAATAACTCGGATTGACTGATACATGTCGTTACTTAGGATATATTTTGGATAGGATATTTATAGAGTTCTACAAATTACGACTTTGGTTTAAAGTTACTCCATACATCGTCATCAGTGTCCATTTTCGTGACGAACTTCTGGAAAAAGTACAGCTCTGACTCAATTATCTCGAACGAAATGTGCATGTACACCGTTTCGTCATTTCCATATTGTGAGTGCACGCGAGGACGGCATACCATGCCATAGCCTCTGGTCACATTTGTACCTGACATGTAAATATACCTTGTGTTAGCGGACTGTGGAATGATGTCAAAAGTGTACATGACTGAGATTAATTTGGTTCCAAAAAAGAACAATAAATTGACAGTTTTGATATCATAATTTTTTTGTTATATATAAACAGAGATAACTGTCATTGTGTACATATTATCCCTCTGCAGATATTTCCGATTTTTTTCAAGGAAGAAAACTCTCACCAGGATCAAGGTGATTGTAAAATGAAAATTAATTAATTTAATGTATATTTTGTTCAATTTTTTCATTCTATATGTATGCATCTGTGTCCTGTTTGCTTTTAATACTAATAATGTAATAATATACAACATTTATATAGCGCCCTATATAATTTGTAAAATTACTCTTAAGGCGCTTTACATTTTTACAACATATGGATAATAGTAATAGTTATAAACAACAAAGGCTTGCAATCACTTTCATACATTTAACAAGCAATGTGCACATACTTGAACAAATAAAAGGGTGGTATTAACATGACGTCTTTGCAAAGATTCTAAATTGCAGACGTGAAGAGGTGAGTTTTCATGTCCCTCTTGAACTTGGCCAGGGTATTTGACTTCCTTATACAGTTGTGGGATCGCACAACGTTACACGATGTGCGGTGTGCGCACGATGTGTGCACGGTGTGTGAACGATGTGTGCATGAAGTGCGAACGATAAAAAAATGGACGATCAGTCCTTGCGTACATTTGTGCGGACGATCGACGAACGTTGTGCGATAACAATCGTGGTTGGTGTAAATTAAGGAATGGCTTGACAATATATACGGTTTCGTTTAAAATAAGATTTTTGAGTATGTTTTTATACTCTAGCTACATCTATAAGCTTATATTTCTGACTATACTTTCTTAAAAATTAGAAATGGTGTTTTGTGGGGTTTTCAAACGACCTTAATCGACACGTGTACATTTACAACACAGTCTCGGCTACACAGGTAAACATTGCCACTTTGTACCCGGACCGTAGTTTATCCCGACCGGGGCACTAACCTAACTCGCCAAGGTGTGAAAACCAGTTGAAGGGGAGCTATAGACCAAAACGAATGCAAATAACAAATATTAAACGTCCAGTTGAGTTTTCATACCGGTCATACGGTATCATTTATCAGCTCTATGTGTCAAGTACAGGTCAGGTAAAACTCCAGTCACTAATCAAATTGTTATTTAACTGTTCTGTTACCGAATAGCCAAACCCATTCTTGAAAGTATAACGGTCACTGTATACTGTATAACACGCATTGTAAAGTTTTACATACTTTTAATAATAGCAGAGACGTATACGTCTCTGATTATAGTGATGAGAAATTACAGTAATATATACAGTGTACATTATTGCATACGAGCATTCCGTATTTTTTCCATTCCGTAATATTGATTAACAAATTGTACCATATCGCACAGATGTGCGGAGATAAGCGCACAACGGGGTGAACGATTGTTAAATCGCACAGTTGTGTGCACCATGTGTGGACGATGTGCGGACGGTGTGTGAACGATGTATGCACGGTGTGCGCACGGTATTTTTGGTGCGTTGTGCGTTCCCACAACTGTAGCAGATGGCAAGCTATTCCACAACGTAGCCGAAACCCTCCTAAAGCATCTGTTTTCGTAGGTCACAGTACGTGATTTTGGGACGCACAACAAAGATCCTGACTCCGACCGCAGTGATCTTGACGGCTGATACAGGGTAACAAGCTCCTGTAGGTACCGAGTAGCTGTTCCATTCAGTGCCTTGTATGTGTATACCAGAATTTTGTACTGCGACCTGTATCGTACAGGTAACCAGTGCAACGAATAAAGCGCAGGTGTGATGTGCTCTCTCTTTCGAGTACGAGTAACTAGCCGTGCTACAGAGTTCTGGACCCTCTGCAGACCACTAGTTAGTTTGTCAGATATACCACAGAGCAGGGCGTTACCATAATCAAACTGAGAGGTAACAAGTGAATGTACCAAAATCTTGCATGCATTTGCAGTTAGAAACTTCCGAATACAGCCGATGTTCCGATCCGGTAGTAACAGGATTTGGCAATAGCGTTCACTTGTTTCTCCATGTTCAGAAACTGTCAAAGTATACCCCTAGTTTGTTAACAGCTGGAACAGTCTCAATAGTTCTGGCACCAACCTTGAGCTGGAGAGCCATTATTTGCTGACACTTTGGGGAAAAAACGATCAGTTCCGTCTTTTCCTGATTAAGTTTAAGCATGTTGGCGTTCATCCAGATACTGATATCTGTCAGACAAGCTTCCAGACTTTCTGAGACTGTATTCCAACTGTCCTGTGGTTTCATGACCATGTGAATTTGGGTGTCATCGGCATAGCAATGGTAGCGAAGGCTATGGCGACGACAAATCTCTCCAATCTGTTTGGAGTGCATACAATATTTTTGTGGTCCTAACACCGACCCTTGAGGAACCCCGAAATCTAGTACTTTGTCATGTGAGGTGGCAGATCCGATGGCAACACACTGTCGTCGTTCACTCAGGTATGACTGTATCCAGCATAGTGCGGTATCAGTCACTCCATAAGAACAACTTTTAGCTTGTAGATAATAACTTGTATCCGTATAAATTTAATAAAAAACACTTTGTTTCACGTGTGTTGTATATTTTGCGATCAATAAAATATTTGTAGCGTTAAAAAGCAATCCTTTTTTATATTTTGTTGTTGTTATTGTTCCGAACAATGCCACACACGCACAAAAAAAACGGAAAATTTCAAATTTTCCAAAAAAGTCCCCAAACTATCGGAATGCTTAGATCATCGAATTTTGCTAGTTAATTGCGAAAGTGTGGATCCACCTTTCATGGCAACATATGGGTTTTACGGAACTCCTCTTCTGAAAGGGGCCTAAACAAATATCTAACAGCAGTGTCAATGGTAAACTTATAGTTAAACTTGTTGATACCCTTTACCTTTATGTTCAGGCATCCAGATGGAGAACTGATTGTTTAAGAAACTGATGGCAGTATTCGTATGTTTTTTGTTTCGCGATCATCTTCAAATAGCCGTGATCGCCTTTACATAGTGCATGGAATGCCGGGCTCTTCGATACGAAATTTGGTGCTTGTATCCGTGATTTCCCCATGATCTTGTTAAGCCGCTTGCAATAATTGGTGTTTTTTTTCTTATTCAAGGAAGTAGTAATCATTAATCAATGTTTGAAGGAATATTTTCCTGACGCAGAAGACTTAATAATTATCGCCGAACCCGGACGCTACCTTGTAGAAACTGCTGTCAGCGCAGGATCATGGATCATTGGACGCAATGTTATCTATGATTTTGATGAAGGTTCGAATAAGGATATGTAATTTTCTTTGTCTATGAAGCCATTAATATTTTGAAAAAAACTTCGTGTTACATATGTAATATTTCTAATTTTCATTACACTGGTTAGATAATACGTGAGTTGCAATGTAGGTCGGTGTTTCCTGTTGATAATGTATAGATAGTATTTGTCTTGACATTGATTATCCGGCGAACTTATTTTTATTCGAAAAATCATCGTCCTGATACAAAATGCATATACCTTTCATATGTCAATACTACGCAGTCGTTTTTGTTGGAAAAATATAACACGGACATTAAAAACATTGTAAATTGCAATCTAGATTTGTCTGTCAATGCGAATACGATATGGTGCCCTATTGTATTAATGTCTGTCCGTCAACACTTTCCTTAACGCGGAATCTAACAAACTGTTTTCTTTTTTATTAATTTGTCATTGTAATACACTTCTTTATGTAAGAGCGACTTTGTGAAGAGTTTCAGGTCAAGGTAAAGGCCAGTATTTTGTGTTATTAAAATAGACCATGTGGTTACGGTCAGGCTCATGGCGGGGCTCTTTCTGATTTGTCAGCTTTCTTGATTTCAATACTAAAAACGTATTAAAGCATATAACAATTGCATTATCACTACCTACTACTGCAAGAGCAAGAATCGAGATACACTTGATAAGAAGAATATATATGGTTATTTTTCAGGCTAAAATTTGAAAAAAGAATGACCGACTTCAATTAGGCTACTAGGAGATATTGGAATTCATTTAACGTTTTTTTTTTTTTTTTTTTTTTTTTTTTTTAGAGAGAAACGACAAAGTGCAGAAGCATTGTGTGGGGACCAAGTTGTAGTGCGACGGATTGTGTGGTAACAGATGTCGAGTTGCCACTGATGGAGGTCGGAGAATGGGTACACATCAGCTACGCAGGAGCCTACTCGTTCTGCCTCTCGACCAACTTTAACAGCATGCCACGCCCAAATTGTATTACTTCTGTTCACGTGACACTTGGTATGCTTTGTTGGTATTACATGTATTGTGATTATAATTTGTTGACAGATAAGTTATTTATTACAAATAAACACCAAAACGTTGAAAGAAAAACATTAGGTTTATTTTTTTAAATCAAAGAATATTGAAAAGTTTGAGACGAATCATCAGAGAGATTTTAATAATTTTGCTTTAGAAGATCCAATTTGTTGCCATATTAAGTTTCTAATCTGGATTCAGAGCAAAACCAAGAAATCAATAGAGAATGTGATTTACCGTTATCCATAAAAAATGTTTAAGTTTTATTGTAGTAACACATTTGTATAGAGATGAAATTTAAAATCTTAAGGTCTGCTATAAACACGGTGGATGCGTCTCGTGTAAGAAATCACACATACTGAGATTGAACTATGTGATGTTATATTAAAGGTAAGTGTTGTTATCAAATAAACACAAATAGAACAACATGACTGACTTCAAGTTTTGAAATTCATTTGTTTGATTGGCAAAATGTTGTCATGATATATATATATATATACATGTATATGATTTCGGGTGAGCAAAGGGAACACAAAATCACCCGAATTAACTTTCATATTAGCTTTTAAGATTGAGGTGTTAAATTAACAAATTGAACCGAGTAAGAAACATGAGATCGCAATTTTCATGCCAAAGTAAACACTCCTTGCCCTAACAATTGCCTTCCATAGCGATAACCCTTAGTGTCCTATAATATGATACAGTAACTTATCTTCTAAATCACAAACTTAGACGAGCAGTTGGACGTATTATTGAACACCACGAAGAAAACCTTGACCTTTGGTGTAATGGTAAATGAATAGGTATTTCCACCGGTCTGTCTACCGCTTGTTGTAGATCAAACACTCTAAAAACGCAAGTCGTAATATCTAAAACCACAGCCGGATAACCGGATCAGAAAATCCTACACTGTACTAAGAGCGACAATTCTCCCAACACATACTAAATTTATTTGATGAAATATGATCAAGTGTTTGAAAAATAATTTCAAAGACTTTTGATTTTAATAAAATATACACTCTCTGTCTTAAATATCGATGATGTTATTGGACTTTCGCGAACGGGACTAAACCTTCACTTTAGTTGTTATATAGGTTGTGTTGGTGTTCATACAGAGCAAATGAGTTAATGGGGTAGGTATTCTGGTTGAAATGTTTTTTTGAAAATAGCATGTGGTTAAATACAATTTCTTATTTCAACCTTTATCTTTCCTGATTTTAAGCATCCTTGTCCCACTGCACTGTGTATTTTCTATACGCAGTAACCTCCCCTTAACCTATGTTGGGATACAACTGTAGTATAACTAGGCTAAGACACTTCTGTTAACTAGGTGGCTCAATCAGTTAGAGAGACAGTATAGTACAGGGTTCGAATCCCGATCTAGCTCCACTGACTTTTTTACACTCAGAAAACTGTTGTTGATTGCATTTCATCTTGGTTTTTTTTATAAACGTCCCACAATGTATGGCTTTCTTTTCACAAACAACTACAGTCATGCTGGGAAAAGCCAGTTTCCAGTACTTAGTTACAATTTTTGACAATGGTACTGATATTCTAAAGCGTGTTCCAATTTCTCAGTTGAATATATTTATATTTGTTTATCTATCTGTTTATCTATGTGTATTTACATTGTAAGTCCTATACGTAATTGAATGCAGATACAGTGTAAATATTTACCTGTATTCAGGTCAAGGGTACATTGCTTATCGTCGACCTCGGGAGGGGCTACGTATCACATTTTCACATAGCGTAACAATCAAAATAAACATACAAGTTCTTTTCTTTTAACTTAAACAACTTCTGACAATTAATTGTATTGTTTTGTTTACTTTACAGGTAACGCTGAAAACGTTTCAGATAAAAATATGTTAATAAACATTTTAGTTGATGAAATATAATACAATGATGCGAGGGAGCACCACGACTGTAATGGAAGAGGCTAGAGAAAGCAGTACCACAAAACCCTAGGGACATCGATTACTCGTGTTTTCCTTCCTTCAGTCTCGTCACAATAATACTGAACATTTGACATCCTTCTTTATCCAGAATAGCATTACAGGAATAGACATAAATACAAAATGTACACATTTCACAAATTTCAATCCGTGCGATAAGTACTCTTACTTATGTTTTCAATTATCGTGTCCATGATAAATAATTGGAATTTACATAAATTAATAGAAGAATATTTTTTCAGTGAAATATCATTGCATCTGTAATGTATTCTGCCTGGATATGACGTAAATAATATTGAATATTTAAGGATAGGCATACAATTTAAAACATATCTTATCAGTTTAATATCATGAAATAATGTCCGTATTATAATTCATGCATGTACATAACTATACAGAACTTAAGCAGTTAAATATGTGATCCAGATTAATTTGAGCGTAGGTTAAATTGGAGGTTACGGTCAAACGTGTCACAATTGGTAATCTTCCTCACTGTAAAATAATTCATATCATATTTGGTACAAATTTCGGTCCAGCATGTCAGAAAACATGGTTGTTCTCCCCAGTCGGACATACCTAAGAAAAGGAGAGAGAAAAAAACATGAATATTTGTTTAGCACTCATATTCATAGAAAACTACTATTTGACAATGTTATGTTTTTTCTGTTATTGATGTCTTATAAAAGACCGTATAAAATCGATCGTTTGACTTATATTTATTCCAAAAACAGGACAGTGTAAATTTAATATTTTCATATTTAACACATCAAGTAGTGTATCACAAAAGTATTTTCATATCTTTATCAACAAATTGTGAAAACTTTGCTGTTACCTTAATAATATAAACCTTCCAAAAAGTACAACCAATACATTTACAACAGTGCACGTATTAGAAGTAAGAAACTTAATTGATGCTGTTGCCAGTAGTTTTTTCTGATCTAAACTTAATATCATCGATTTGAATATATCACGTTGATGTTATTACTCAAAGATCATAGTAACGTAACATGTGGGACTGAATTTCAACTGCAACGTTAACGTTTTTTCTTTGCAAAATAACAAGATCACATAAATCCATTGCCAACGTAAGTACCATCACTTACCTGTCTACACAAATGTTGTTGATGATCTGGTATTAACAGATACTGCTTATCTTCAAAGATCCGTTAACTAAAGAGCTCCTATTGTACATATAAACTTTATGTAATTTAAAACAATTTGATACTAGTTATTTCAGCGTATGCCAATTCTTTTATCGGCCCGGCTGTTAGCACAGGGGGTCATAATGTAGGAGGAAACCGGAGTACCCGGAAAAAAACACGTGGTCAGGAAGGTTCTCTCCGGGTACGCCAGTTTACTCCTACATTAAGAACCCTACCAAACCAACGCGTGCTAACACCTGGGCCAAAAATAGTGACTAATAAAAGTTGAAATACGTTGTTTCATAATTGTTGTTAAAAAAAATTGAAAACAAAATCTGATGAACTATATTTTCATAAAATTAAATAAGATAAAAAAATCAATTAATGTTTTATCGATATCATAAAAAGTTGTTGCCAAGAAACAAACATTACGTACCACGTGTCACTTGAACAGAAGTAATAAAGCTTAGGACGTGGCATGCTGTTAAAGTTGGTACTGCAGCTAAACGAGTAGGCTCCTGCGTAACTGATCTGTACCCACTTTCCGACCTCCATCAGTGGTAGTGGCATGTCTGTTGCTAAGCAATCGGTGCCACAACATGTTGGACCCCACGCCGTGCTGTGGTGTTTCTCTGTACTCGCCTAAAGACAACATAAACGAAGTTTTGTCCTAGATTTATCGAGTTCCTATTAAGGTTTTGTCATCACATTGTTTTCCCCTTCTTTGCCAACTTAACACAATTTATACGGTTTCTAACTGAACATTACTTTAGAATCTGCTCTTCTGATATTTAAATCTCGTTCAAATCTTGTTTTGGTCTGATGTAACAAGATTTTATTATATGTAACAAATTATGATCAATTTTTTTAAGGAAACATGCATATGCAAAAGGTATCAAAATAAAAGTTGAAGAATGATATTCCTTTTTTTTTTGTGCAATATTGTTTGATTTCTAAAAACGTTTTTTGAAGATACTGTATGATTTTGTTCATCAAAATGATTAATTCGACCATAAAACACTCTCTACGTAAAATTCAATCGCAGAAAAATAAAATAAAAGAAGATCACAATGACATAAGAGGTAGAATCAGCAGTAGAAAGTAAGTGGAGCCGAAATGTTGAAAGCATATTGAATAAGACATCGTGCCGTATAAAAAACTAAGTGGTTCAAAGGGTTATAGATATGCAGCATCAAACTGCATATTGCTCCCACAACAATGATGCTACATTTAGGTCAATAAGATGCTATCGCATCGTTCTGTTGCCAGACGACATTTCAATAGTTAGTCATTGAAGGTTTATCAAAAGAAATATTATTATTTTTACTTCGAATTCGCACTCAGTTCTCAAATCTTGATTTTCTATAAAAAAAAACTATAACAGATTTCATCAGGAATTGTTTCTTATATTTGTTTTTGATTTAATATTTCAAAAACTTCTCAACTTAAATATTTATCGAAAATTAGTAACTGAAATACAAATTGGAAAATACTAAGAAAACGGAATCGTAAGACTTTATAATCATTTGATATGTATCCATTAACATCACTGCGAAGATGTAATAAACTATGTCCTCTATGTAGGGAGATGTACCTTGTTAAGAACTGGTGACATTACAAACACCTCCGGGCCTTCTTTTACCCACGTAAAGGTTCCATACGCTCCATCATTAATGTTGTACATAACATGTTCAATACTGGTTTTATCTGGAAAAGCAAGCAAATAAAGCCATGCATAATCGATGAAGTTCAATTTCCTGTAAATACAACCTGTAGCAGATTAACACCAAACTTTTTTCAAAATGTAATTAGTGTTTATGTTCGTTTATTTTATTCGCAACAAGGAGGTCAAAGTTCATGCAACCAAAAACATATGTACTCATCAACAAACAAATATAAGACATTAACAACTTTGCACAAACCATTATCATAGATAAGCTTCCGGCCTATGATATTGGCTGCAGCACTGACAGCAGTTTCTACAAGGTAACGTCCTGGCTCAGCAATTATTTTTACTCCGCCTGCTTCAGGGAAATAATCATCAAGGCACTGGTTTATAACCTCTGCATTCTGTACGTAAACAGAATATAAAAACAATTAATAACAGATATCATGTGACCGATATAATATGAAAAAACATCCGTAAATCGAGCTGGAAGCTTTGTTTTTGTTTCTTTAACAATTTAGCATTGTTGCTAAGCTTGTTTCATTCTACTTTCGTTTTGATGTAATAATAATAATATAATGTTTTGTACAGATCAAAATGCGGTTGTGAACGCAATTTACTATTGACGTCAAAAGATGTCATCAAAAAAAGAAAAGTATTTGTTACCTAATTTATCGAATCAATGCCGGTTACCCGGTTAATATTCTACTGTTACTATATCACATACTTCTTCTATAGTCGGTCGTTCAATATCTCTCCCTCGGAATCCACCTCCAATGTCCAGGACGGTCATATCAAAGCCGATCTGTAGTCCTATGTCAAATATCCTCCGAGCTTCTTTGATTGCCGAAGCAAATGCGTTGGAAGTAAGACAGTTACTTCCAACATGAAAACTAAAAACAATGAAATCATATTACTAAATTTAACATCCAGAAATTAATCTTGATAGAGACCGTTAGAATTAATAAATAAGGATTGATAAAAAGTAAACCATATTTAAATTCTGAACTTATTTGTATTTTAATTTTTACTATATTATTTGTTTGTATGTCACTCACCATACACCAATGACGTTCAAGCCTTTGTTCTTTGCCGATATAAACAAATCCATCGCTTCTTCAAAGTCACAACCAAACTTCTTTCCCAGATCGTACATTACTTCATAGATATTTTTCGGTCGGAATCGCATGAGTAATCTGTAACACAAAGAATACTGCTCAACACAGACGGATAATAATGATGATATTGATATCGTATAAAACTTTGATTTTGTAACAATGGTTTCAAACTGTTTGATATATAATATACCATTTTTTATTATTTATGTAGTGTTAAATTTGCGGGTACAAAATTACACAGATAGTTACATTTAATTTATGTTACGACCCACCTTGCTGATCCATACAACATTTTGACTTTGATCAATTCCTCCTCAGTGTCAAAGGTCATCAGGTCTACATTGTGCTCTTTGGCGTAAGTAAGATGTGAGTTTTGCTTGCAGGGATTGGCGTAGATGATACGAGACGGATCAACTCCTAATTCTAACACCTGTTGAATCTCAGCCTACCAAGCGTAACGATAAAAATCTTGTTTTTAACACATTTATTGTTCACTGATGAATATGTGCATATGATCTTTCAGAAAATCTCAAGTGATGATGATGAAATGCTAATGGAAGCATTCATTTTTTCAGAATCTCTGATGTCTATTGTCCCATTACCGAAAAAAAATACAATGGTCGTTTATACTCAACAAACACATATATATAATGGCCTCTTGCTCCGGAAAGTCATATATCAATTCGGACTTTGTAGGATATGACTTGAAAATATACGCACCTTGCTCGCACAGTCGAAACTGCTCCCTAATCTCTTCAGGACATCAACGATTTTCTCATCATTATTGCATTTCATAGCTATTGGAAAAGAGAAGGAAACGATCAGTCTATTTTAGTTGCATCGCCAAAATAGCTTCCGGTATTTAGGCCTAGATGTGTAGGGATTCATTTTAGAAAACTATTTCTTTAACTTGAATCAACTTAAGTATCTTAAAAAATGTACCGTTTTCGAATCACATATATCATGACAGGTGTGGCTGCATGCCAAAAATGTGTTGAAAATAGAAAAGAACACTAACATCGAATCTATCAATGATTTGATGCAGATAGAAAACTCTGGAACCGAGGGTAAACATTTTTTTTTTTTTTTTTTTAGCTCGCTCGAGTCTTTGCCAAGTGCTGATACTGAAAAAACGTATCCCGAGGGTTATGATTTCTTTTTCAGCATCACACAGGCGTTATTGATTTTTTTTCCAAATACTTTCCTACAGTGAACATTTAGCTGTAACGGAAAACACAATACAACGAGCCAATATCTATAAGGTATGTAAATGCTTGTGGCTACAACATATTTGGCGTAGTTTTTAAAAAGTGCGCTGTGTAACTATTTCAACCGTTCATTTAAAGATGGTATCTTTCAGAGTTTTTTCAAAAGAGCTAATTTTATTCTTATTTTTAAATGTGGTAAACGTAATTAAGTCTGTAATTACAGACCAGTATCTTTACTACCAATTATATTTAAAGTTTTTGAAAAACTGGTTGACGTACATTTTTCAAATTTTATAAATCCGCTTATCTGCGATGAGCAACATGGTTTTAAGCCAAAAAGGTCTACTGTTTCGAACCTTGCATGCTTCACCGATCAGATTTCCAAAGCCTTTGATAAAAAGTAGAATTACATGCTGTATATAATGATTTTTCAAAGGCATTTGACAAAGTTGACCACAGATTATTATTGCATCAGTTAAAATTGTATGGTGTAGAAGATAGCATTTTAGATTGGTTTTCTGCTTATTTGAAAGACAGATTCCAGTGTGTTACTGTCAATGGGGCAACATCCAGTTGTTGTAATGTAACTTCCGGTGTGCCTCAAGGTTCGATACTTGGACCTAAACTTTTCCTTGTTTTTTTCATTGAACTGCCATATATTGAGAATTTTTCTAAAAGACTTATGTTTGCCGACGACACCAATTTTTTAAGTGTGTAAGAACATATTCTGAGTGTGAGCAGCTACAGAGCGATATAGATAGAGTGTATGATTGTTGCACAGTGTGGAAAATGAAAGTGAATGTGAAGAAGTGCTGCCAGGTCATTTTTGCAAACAGAAAGAAATGTATGAATTTTAATTACACTACGAACGGTGAGAACCTGAAGAATGAAATGTGTGTGAAAGATCATGGTGTTTGGCTGACCTCTTCAATGAGTTTTAGTGCCCACATTAGATGTACTGTTTCCAAATCAATGCGAATGCTCTGTTTTATAAAACATACATGTAAAAGTTTTACACAAATACCTGTTTTAAGGTCTTTATATATAAGTCTTGTCAGGAGTCAGTTATTATACTGTTGTCATATCTGGTCTCCTTATCAAACATCTTTAATTCACCAGGTCGAAGTTGTCTAGTGTAAATTTTTGAAACTTTTATGTTTTAAGGCACACGTTGACTACACTTCCATGTCTTACGCTGACACTGGTAGGCATTTTAATCTTCCTAGCCTCGAACATAGGCTGGCATTTTTAGACTGTGTATTTCTTTACAAATGTGTTAATAGTGCTTTTGGTTGTCCATATTTAGTCAAGCAAATGTGTTTTTAGTCCCTGGTCGTAATCTACGATCAATTCGTTTTAACCAGTTTTACTGCCAGAGAAGTAAAATAAACGTTAGAAAGTATAGTATTTTAAACAGGATTCAATGTAACTTTTACTATCTTGATTTTGCACCAGACTGCGAAATGTTTCGTTCTTCTCTCGCCGAGAATATTTGCTATCATTAATTCCTTTTGTGTTACATATGAGTATCTTTTAGTCTGTGTTACATGCATAACTGACTGTGATATTTTATACTTGTGTTGTAATGTTGTTATCCATTCTGTAAGTGGACCCTTGGGTCTGTTGAATTGGAAATAAATAATGTGGTACAAAATTGATGAAACGACCCTTGTTTAGCGCATGAAGTGATGACGGTACGGTTACGTTTTCAGAAAAATTGTGTTACGGAACATATTACATATGTAGAATGAGGTAATTACAATAAAAACAATGTTACCGTAGCACAGCTTCACTCTGGGAAATAGCTTGTACCATTTTCTGTATCTCTCCACCAACTCGTCAATATCAAGGATAAGCAGAGGATCGTCTATACCCTGTGTAAAATAAGGCATTTATTGTTGTGGAGACAATTAAGGTAAGATTACTAAACATTTTAGTATATAAATATCTGTATAGCTACATTATATGGACACAAATAAATCAATTTAACCGATCCAGTTTTGTGACTGCTATAAATTGTAAAAATGAAGAATACAAAAAGGAAAGAGTACAGAGAGATTGTCTAAGTTTGTCCAAATGCTACCGTAAATTGTTAATATTTCCGATCCGGAAAAATGTATATGAACAATAATCACCAAAGGTTGTCCCAGCATTTATTGTTTCTTGGGATTGAACGTTCTTCATTATGTTTACGAAAATACAATATTGTAAGATGGCACAAGCGACGAAAAGGCAAATTCCTAACAAACATCAATGTTTGATAAACTTACCAGTTTTGCTTGAAATGTAACCTGGCGTTTGATGTAGTCTTCATGGGAACATCTAACATCGACGATCTGTACGTCCGTATCTCCCATTATTCTGAAAAAAAAATATCAAACTCCCAAAATTGCTATAAAATATATTATTAACATTTATACTAAATCTTAAAGAAAGAAAATACTTATTGCTTCTTTAATGCTGTAATGGTTGTACTTTTTGAGGGGTTTTAATTTTACAATTTTTCCAATGACAAGTTTTCTGTCTGTTGATGTATGCTGTTGAATTCTCCTATAAAAGATTATTCGTACGACTTCAATATCTTGGTTCAGTGGGAGGTGCTATCTTTTGTGTTCTGTATAGTAGGGCCTATTGCTCATTAATTGATTCGTGACTGTTGGTGACATTACATTAACCTTAACGGTGTCGTTCCTTTGTTGATCCAAGATCTCTGAGCACAAAGTATGTCGTGTTTATGACAAACATCAATCACTCAACGATGTAATCTGTGCTATTAGTGTCGTGTTGTTGGTCTCTCTTTGTTGATACTGATGGCTTCTTGTACTGAGGTGTTGTTGATCATGTAGTGAAAATATCTTCTTTCAGATTCAAAACGTTTTGAATTTTTTCAACATGAAGTTTTGTTGTTCTATCTCAGGTAACAAAATATATGCAATGCTAGATATGCAATGCTTGGTAATAGATTGTATCTAACCGATCTGTTGCAGTTTATTCTTGGATGCAGTGTTAATGTGTAATCCATTTTCAGAAAATGTTGGTGTACAAAATAATCTCTGTCTGTAGTGGGATAAAATTACTGGTATCCCTGATCCGTGATGCCCGAGTCTAATGTTGGGCAAAACTTATATCATTTTCTTTACGGTTCGTTTTGGCGTCATTTGAAAAAGACTTTTTGTTTATTACTAATACAGCCTGATCTTTGTGTCCAAATAAAGTCAACGATCGAGCTTTCTTGCTTTTACAGTTATTTCCTCCACATCACTGTAATTGCAATGTAAATGGCTTTCTCAGTTTGACATACAGAATGAAGTTCGACCAGTCGGTTTTTTAACGTTATTTATAAAGTAAAGCGTAGATACATAAAGCATATACAGCTTACCCGGTAACATTCATGTTCACTAAGATATCTGCCTGGGATATTTTGTAGCTTTTGACTCAACTGACATAGTTGTTTTAATAAAAGGGTTGTTTTGTTCGCTGTTCTTGTCATATCGTACACATTTATAAGCTGTATAATATAAACATTACGTTATGCAATTGTAAAACCATTAATGCTTTGTGCTGCCTTTATCTAGACACGTTCCCGTCTAAAGATAGCTAATAAGAGCTTGTACATACCTTTTATGAGACTCTTCTCATCTGCTCGAAATGTAGTTTTTACAAGGTGTTAAATGGGTCATTTAAAGGAATAAAATGTATGAAATTGAAAGCCCTTAAATGTTTTGCCTTGCATCTATCTAGGCCATATTCTTGTTAATAGAAGATGTTTTCATATATTTAGGAAGGAGACCTTATGCTTTTTCGCAAACTTTACTGAAAAGTATGAAATGTTACAGTTAGGAAAAATTGCAATGGTCTTGCTGTTGTTATTGTTGCTGAATAATTTTTCAATATACAAATTGGGATGTTGCCCAGATGAAGCAGTTACAACATCACTGTACGTACTTAAACGTATAGTTTTACATATACCTTACTGTCCACAATTCATTATGCGTTACACATACTACCTGTAAATGTCTCTTGTGTGGTTCCTAGTCATTTTGATGTTACTAAGTAGTAAAAATGCTTAAATATTCATCGGAAGTATTGTACATAAATGTGATTTTTTTAGATGTCGTTTGGTGAAGCTATCGATCATCTAGAACGTTTCTGATGTCTTTTTGTGAAGCCATTTTCTAAGATGTTCAATATCAAATAATCAAACACACCTTCCATTTGTTCACACCTACTGTCATTGAAAAGAGATATATATTGCTTTTGTTGTAAATTCGATTATATTAAAACAAGCATTTAGACAATTATAATACGTACCTGCTAACGTTGTTATCCGAGAAAAGCGTTTTATTCATTCGTTTAACTTTAAGGTCTTCCCTCAAGGAGCTACAATGTATAACTGGTTATGTTACATGACATTCCGATTGGTATGGATGGTTTCTCTTGTATTCGTGTCTGAACATAAGTTAGATTTGTAAAAACTGATTTAAAATATAACTGATCTGAAACAAAACCTGATAACGCATGTTGATAACTGTAAAAAGGTTTTATTCACTCCTTAAACGTGATAAAAGGAAAGTTGAGATGTTTATGAATAACCAAACCTCCGCTCTGTATACAGGTGTACTGTGTGTCATGTATATGTCAGTCTATCTAGAATAATCTACAATCCTACTTAGAAAACCGTACCACAGTGTTTTTACCTAACTCAAGTTCTCTATCACTGGTTAAATATATTTCATTTTCGAATCAATAAGATATTTAAAAAAAAAACCACTCAACACACAGGGAACTCAACACAAAGGTAGCTCAACAAACACATATACAGTATTACACTCTGGCGGGTCATTAATTTTCTCTACCTCAGCCATACATATAGCTTCTTATTAAAAACGTATTACCTGCATGACAAAATAAAAAGAGAAACCTATTACTTTGGTCACTTTAATTAAACGAATATAATTTTGTTCTAAGAAAAGCAGGGGAGTTACGGACTTACCAACAGTGTTACCTCATACCAACAGTGTTACCTCATACCAACAGTGTTATCTCATACCAACAGTGTTACCTCATACCAACAGTGTTACCTCACACCAACAGTGGTACCTCATACCAACAGTGTTACCTCATACCAACAGTGTTACCTCATACCAACAGTGTTACTTCATACCAACAGTGTTACCTCATACCAACAGTGTTACCTCATACCAGCGGCAGCGTCCGTCCGTCCTGAAACAATTCTTATCGCACTTTTTTTCTCTTAAAAATCGCTGTACGCCCTTTTCGCAAAACGATGAAAAGTGACATCTCTTAGAAGGAGACTTTCACATTCAGTGGTATGGATATTTTTTATCAAATACTACCACGAGATGCATTTACTGTTGACAAGACATAAGGTAGCAGTGTAGAGTAGCGTACGGTGGCCATAGGTGATATTTGTGTACAATGAATAACCCTTGTAATATTACATGTATCAAAGTTTTAAAAAAGCAACACTAAAATTGTCATATGGGGTATGTTTACTTTTGTTCATATGTTGTCCTGGATTTTGTGTTCGATATTTCTCAAACTGAACTTTTGAAATTGTAATAACGGAGATATTAACTGTGTACAGTTAGCGTGACAATTGTGGTTTTCCAATCATGAATATTCCCTTTCTTTATAACAATATTCCTGATTTCCTAACTGATGTCCTTGTCATGTAAAAGTTGATTCTATATTCAGGCTTTTACGAACATCCGATTTCATTGTTTCCATGATAAATGTTGACTGCCGGAGCACAAACTTTACTACAATACAAGTTTTTGAGAAAAGCACGCTTGAAAAGTATATGACCAAGATGTATGGGCTCCATCATGATTTCATTGCTAAATATTTAATTTACTTTATGTAATGTGAATGGGTCTGTCTGTTCATATGTGTTTACCAGTTGTATTGATTGAGACTTCAACTCGTCAGTTTGCTGTTTTGTTTCGTTGTCCATACCATGCTTCACTTGTTGAGGACTTGACATTACTATGATTCGACCTACGTTTTTATACCAAGTTTCGTCGATGAAGCAGAGAAAGCTTATCTTTTCGGAACATTTTATCTTATTATCCTGGTTCATTTAAGGGTCTCCATAAAACATTTTCATATCTTGCCCTTGACTAGGCATAGGCCTAGTAGTTAGCGCCTGATAAGGCAGCTCCTGTAAATTCCTCAAAGTTGTATTGATTGATGTATTATTTACTCTATATGTTAATTGTATTGATTGAAGAAATTGTACATCTATTTACTGTTAAGCGCTTTATAGTTGTTTATTCTAGTTCGATAGGGCGCTACATCAAATATTGTATATCTATTAATCTATCTTTATTACCACTGATTTGTATTTTAAGCTACAGATGCACATACTTATCTACATTTTCATTTTAACCACAGTAAACACAACAACGTGAATATTCCTTTAATCTTACTTCACAGATTATCACTATCGTCAGTGAAAAGCAAGTCCCAAATGCTTGACTTGATAAACAAATCAACACCTCTAAGTTCCATGTTATCTTACTGAAGTAATAGGCATACGGAACGCTATTGAAAAGGGGACCCTTTACATCCCGTTCTTAAAAACAAAAGTATAAACCGAAGTTAATTCTATTTGTTTATCCTTTCAATTTTTGGAATTTCTTTATGTTTTCTGTGATAAAGAAAAATGTGAAAAGTTGAAGCAAAGTAGCAGGCGTATGAGAAACATTTTCGATAAGAATGCTTTGTGTACATGGTAGACGCAATCCTAAGACCTTGACACGTATATTGATATGCTCCAAGTTTAATAATTCCTTTTTAACAACAGAAGTACGTAAGTGTAAGATACCAAGTTGTGTTACATGACCTATGATTATCGAATGTAATATTTGTATCTTTAAGAATGGTGTGGAATGTTACTTTGAACACTAAGATGAAATGTAAATAAAAAACATAATTGATGCTATAATTTATTTTGAATGTGGTGAATTTTACATTGGTCAACTCAGACCCCGTATGAGTGTACAATAAACTGAAGCCGAATCTTGATGAAACTTACATGTTGATAAACATATTCATGAATTGATGAATTCAATGTATTACCTTTATATCAATTATGTTCATTCTATTAATCAACGAAAAAGAAAGAAGATAATTTTCTCAAATATTAAAACATAGTCGCAATAGGGTACAGTAAATTTGTGCAATAGTTTGTCCAACATTTTGTGTACATTGTTAGTTCACGATGTTGTCCTTTTGAAATAAACGCGAAGGGCCCTGTAAATGGTGCAAATGTCGTCCCAGAAAACCCGCAAGCACCATTGCTATCCATTGGTCAAGTGTACCTAAACGCGAAGAAAACAAAATTCAATAATAATATTTTGACCATCTATGAAATTAAAAGGATTTAGATATTTCATTTTGTTTGTGTAAAACACTACAAGTTAACGATGTAAACAAAAATCGCTAAGTAAAATATTAATGTAGCAGTGTTTAAGATACTAATGTGTTGTATATATAAACCAACATTAATTCTATCATTTTTTTAAGTAAACTGATGTCAGATACTCTATCTAAGCTTGTATAATTGGTTATGAATTTGAAAATGAAAGTTTTGAGAAGAAATTATTCTTCAAATTCTTCAACGTTAACACTTTTGTTATAGACAGAGCGTCATTGTGTTTTATGATAATTTGTATGACTACAATAACAGATTCCACGTTATGTTTAATTGCAGTAACACATTTGTCTAGACATGCAATTCTAAATCTCTAGGTCTGCTATAAACACGGTGGACGGGTCTCGTGTCATAAATCACACATACGGGCATGTTATTTTCAAGGTAAGTGTTGTTATCAAATAAACACAAATTGAACAACATAATTGACGTCAATTTTTGAAATGTATTTGTTTGATTGGCACAACACTGTCATGCTATACATATATATATATATATATAAATATATCAGAAAAACATTCAAAGTCCTTGTGATGGTAAAATATATATATAAAAAATACAAAGAATTTATTAGTACCTCCCTAACACTTTCGACTCTAAATATTTATAAATATATATAAATATATATGGCGATAACAATTTTAAATGTTCATGTGACGGTATTCATTTATAAATATATATGTATGATTTTTGGTGAGCAAAGGGAACACAGAATCACCCGAATTAACTTTAAGGTTTGCTTTTAATATTGAGGTGTGTTAAATTAACAAATTGAACCGAGTATGAAACATGAGATCGCAAATTGTATGCCAAAGTTAACACCCCTTGCCGTAACAATTGTCTGTACATAGCGATACCCCTCAGTGTCAGTGTCCAATGATATGCTGCAGTAACCCATCTTCTAAATCCCAAACCAAGACGGTAACTATGAAGTGATATCGAAAACCACGAAGGCAACCATGACCTTAAGCAAATGAAGACCATCTGTAACAGAAAAAGAACAGGCGTCAAAAAACGTATACTTCAATGGTGAGAGGAATAGTAAATCAATAGATTTTTCCTCTGGTCTGTGTACCGCTTGTAGGTCGCACATAGTATCTAATAATCTAAAACCACAGCTGGTAAATATCCGGATCAGAAAGTCATACGCTGTACTAAGAGAGACAACTCTTCCAACACATATAAAATCAATTTGATGACATGTGATCAATATTTTGAAAACCTTCACCTTGGTTGTTATATAGGTTTGTATTGGTTTTTGATGCAATCTAGAACTATCATGATTTCAGAACAAATGATTTAATGAGGTAGGTATTGTGGTTGATATTTTTTTAGAATAGCCTGTAATTTAATACAATTTCTTATTTCAACCTTTGTCTTTCCTTTTTTTAAGCATCCTTGTCCCACTGTACTGTGTATTTCCTATACTTCCTTTTCTAACGTTGGGATAGCACAGTTGGGCAAGACACCTCTGCTAACGAGATGGCTCAATCAGTTAGAGGGACAGTATAAATAATAATAATAATAATGATATACAACATTTTATAACGCGCCCTATCTATCTAACATAAGCCACTCTAAAGCACTTTACAATACATATATATCCAATTATTACAATTAGCATATACATTGATAAATACAATGTTTGATGAATTTGCAGGAGCTGCCTTATCAGCCGATAACTACACTGTAACAGTTCTATGCCAAGTGGCTAATATCTCTGTGTGTATGCCTGCGTGTTTGCTCGAGATGTATTGTATTCTGTTTGTAGTGGGACCGGGCTTCCAACGGCATCTTTTAAAGTGCTACCTCACTTTTACGTTACACTTCTTTATCTATGTGTAACAATCATAGTAAACACACAAGAAAAGTTCAATTTCCGGTTTTTTTATAATCAATTCTGAAAGCTGATTCCATTGTTTTATTTACTTAGAGAAAGCGGTACCACTTAACACTAGAAGCATCTATTACTCGTGTTTCCTTCATTCATTTTCATCAAAATAATACTGAAAATTTGTCATCCTTCTTTATCTACAATAATACTGAAAATTGCCATCCTTCTTTATCTACAATAATACTGAAAATTTGCCATCCTTCTTTATCTACAATAATACTGAAATTTGACATCCTTCTTTATCTACAATAATACTGAATATTTGTCATCTTCTTTATCTACAATAATACTGAAAATTTGTCATCCTTCTTTATCTACAATAATACTGAAAATTTGACATCCTTCTTTATCTACAATAATTCTGAAAATTTGACATCCTTCTTTATCTACAATAATACTGAATATTTGTCATCCTTCTTTATCTACAATAATACTAATAATTTGACATCCTTCTTTATCTACAATAATACTGAACATTTGACATCCCTCTTTATCTACAATAAGACTTAACATTTGACATCCTTCTTTATCTACAATAATACTAAAAATTTGACATCCTTCTTTATCTACAATAATATTGAAAATTAGACATCCTTCTTTATCCACAATAATACTGATAATTTGACATCCTTCTTTATCCACAATAAGACTGAACATTTGCCATCCTTCTTTATCTACAATAATACTGAACATTTGACATCCTTCTTTCTCCACAATAAGACTGAACATTTGCCATCATTCTTTATCCACAATAATATTGAACATTTGACATCCTTCTTTATCCCCAATAATATTGAACATTTGACATCCTTCTTTATCTACAATTAGACTTAACATTTGCCATCCTTCTTTATCTACAAGAATACTGAACATTTGACATCCTTCTTTCTCCACAATAAGACTGAACATTTGACATCCTTCTTTCTCCACAATAAGACTGAACATTTGCCATCATTCTTTATCCACAATAATATTGAACATTTGACATCCTTCTTTATCTACAATAATACTGATCATTTGCCATCATTCTTTAACATTTGACATCCTTCTTTATCCCCAATAATATTGAACATTTGACATCCTTCTTTATCTACAATAATACTGAAAATTTGACATCCTTCTTTATCTACATTAAGACTGAACATTTGACATCCTTCTTTATCCACAATAAGACTTAACATTTGACATCCTTCTTTATCCACAATAAGACTAAACATTTGCCATCCTTCTTTATCCACAATAATACTGAATATTTGTCATCCTTCTTTATCTACAATAAGACTGAACATTTGACATCCTTCTTTATCCACAATAATATTGAACATTTGACATCCTTCTTTATCTACAATAAGACTTAACATTTGCCATCCTTCTTTATCCACAATAATACTGAATATTTGTCACCCTTCTCTATCCACAATAAGACTGAACATTTGACATCCTTCTTTATCCACATTATCTACAATAATACTGAAAATTTGTCATCCTTCTTTATCTACAATAATACTGAATATTTGTCATCCTTCTTTATCCACAATAAGACTGAACATTTGACATCCTTCTTTAGCCACAATAATATTGAACATTTCACATCCTTATTTATCCACAATAATACTGAACATTTCACATCCTTCTTTATCTACAATAATACTGATCATTTGCCATCATTCTTTATCCACAATAATATTGAACATTTCACATCCTTACTTAACATTTGACATCCTTCTTTATCCACAATAAGACTTAACATTTGACATCCTTCTTTATCTACAATAATACCGCACATTTGACATCCTTCTTTATCTACAATAAGACTGAACATTTGACATCCTTCTTTATCCACAATAAGACTTAACATTTGACATCCTTCTTTATCCACAATAATATTGAACATTTGACATCCTTCTTTATCTACAATAATATTGAAAATTAGACATCCTTCTTTATCCACAATAATACTGAAAATTTGACATCCTTATTTTTCCACAATAAGACTTAACATTTGACATCCTTCTTTATCTACAATATTACTGAACATTTGACATCCTTATTTATCCACAATGATATTGAACATTTCACATCCTTATTTATCTACAAAAATACTGAACATTTGACATCCTTCTTTATCCACAATAAGACTTAACATTTGACATCCTTCTTTATCTACAATATTACTGAACATTTGACATCCTTATTTATCCACAATGATATTGAACATTTCACATCCTTATTTATCTACAAAAATACTGAACATTTGACATCCTTCTTTATCCACATTATCTACAATAATACTGAAAATTTGTCATCCTTCTTTATCTACAATAATACTGAAAATTGCCATCCTTCTTTATCTACAATAATACTGAACATTTGACATACCTCTTTATCTACAATAAGACTTAACATTTGACATCCTTCTTTATCTACAATAAGACCGAACATTTGACATCCTTCTTTATCCACAATAAGACTTAACATTTGACATCCTTCTTTATCTACAATATTACTGAACATTTGACATCCTTATTTATCCACAATAATACTGAACATTTGACATCCTTATTTATCCACAATGATATTGAACATTTCACATCCTTATTTATCTACAATAATACTGAACATTTGACATCCTTCTTTATCCACAATAAGACTGAAAATTTGACATCCTTATTTATCCACAATAATATTGAACATTTCACATCCTTATTTATCTACAAAAATACTGAACATTTGACATCCTTCTTTATCTACAATAATACTGAACATTTGACATCCTTATTTATCCACAATAATATTGAACATTTCACATCCTTATTTATCCACAATAATACTGAACATTTCACATCCTTCTTTATCTACAATAATACTGATCATTTGCCATCATTCTTTATCCACAATAATATTGAACATTTCACATCCTTATTTATCCACAATAATATTGAACATTTGACATCCTTCTTTATCCACAATAATACTGAACATTTGACATACTTCTTTATCTACAATAATACTGAACATTTGACATCCTTCTTTATCTACAATAAGACTGAACATTTGCCATCATTCTTTATCCACAATAATATTGAACATTTCACATCCTTATTTATCCACAATAATACTGAACATTTGACATACTTCTTTATCTACAATAATACTGAACATTTGACATCCTTCTTTATCTACAATAAGACTTAACATTTGACATCCTTCTTTATCCTGAATGGCATTATATTAATCGACATAAATACAAAATCTACACGTTTCACAAAATCTCAACCCGTGCGATATAATCGGTTAAAAGAGGTGATAAATTAGTTGTTATTGTCAAAATACCGACACAATCCTCTGAAGATTGTAGAAAGTAACGTTACAATGAAATATGTGTTCCCTTATCACACTTGGTAAAGTATTCCTCCCGCAGAAACGGGGGAGTTCCCCTACTTCTTCTACGAAATTCTTATTTTGCCTTTTTACTATTTTTCCGGCAATTACTGCCTATGTACCCGAGGACGTACATGTACAACTCAGGGAAACATTTATTAACACTTGTTATATTTCCTTAGTTCAATCCAGTAAACATGTAATTACACAAGATCACTATCACTTAACCTTTGTACCTTGGGTTAGACTTCGTTTGTTTGTGTTTTACGTCCATTAACTCTTTCCGTACCGCAGCTCCGGTCCGGATTCCGTACCGGATGTACTTATTAGACTCGCCCCCGCGCATATAATAAAATGGCGGATTATTAATTTACTTTTTAGACTAGGTGTAACTGCCGCAAGAATTAAACAGGTAACGGTGAACAAATATTGTTATTGTTTCATGCTCTGGTTCATAGACAAACACTTCTTCATTTTCGCAGCATAATGACTAACTGGCAGCTGATTATGACTGAGAAATCGACATTTGTCTGGCAATAAACGGTACGATTCCTTGTATTTAACGCAGCGTTGTAGTGCAGGTTTCCAATGAGGATTGATTATGGTTACGAATGTGGAGTCTTTGAGTTTTTTCCTAAATACAAGTAGATTTCATCAAGACCTATATTTCAAATTTACTTCCATAAGTCTCAACAAATATCTGATGATGACTTTCCCATCGAATTAAGTTGCCGCCATCTTGTTTACATTTGAGGCACCAAACACAAACATCTTGCGGCAAATCCGAAAACATTAAGTCACATAATAAAAAAGGATACTCTGCACAAATAAAATTATTTCTTCCAAACTGATGGGTTCTGATTTTAGCGACAATTAATTGTTTTTTTGCGACAGTCTCGTGCGATAACAAAATAAACATCAGGCAGGTTACATCAAAGTCTCTTGTCGTGTGTACACGACAACGGGGATGAGACGGCCCTTTATTTTAACGTCTGTACACGACAACGGGGACCAGGATGACATAGTGTTGTCGTGTGTACACGACAACGGTACGGAAAGAGTTAACAGCTATGGTCATTTAAGGACGTGCCAGATTTGGGTGGTGGAGGAAAGCCGGATAAAAACCACTGACCTACTGCCAGTATCTGGCGACTGCCCCACGTAGGTCTCGAACCCGCGACCCTGTGGTGGAGGGCTAGTGGTATTTGAATGTCAGACGCCTGAACTACTTGGCCACCGCGGCCCTGCATCTTGATTTAGTTATATGTGGTAACTAAGCACCACTTTTTGGGTAACCTCTGGGACACTTACTCGGGTTAAGCACACAGATTACATACAACACTCGTTTGGGAAGATTCACTATTTATCTCTGTTATCTTGATATTTTAACTCGAAAAAATGGATAACCTCTAAATAGAAATATATGGATAGTCTGGATTCAGTTTTATAATAAAAGTTTTTATTTATTCTTAGTTTTCTTGTTTTCCGTTATGTATTTGTTTTCCCTAATAGTCAAATTACTGTTGTTTTTAAATAATATTTTTATAATAAATCTTTACGTTTCTGGGATGGCGATTTTTAATAGATTCATAGAAGTATTACTTTCATTATTAAACAACTTTTTTTGTGGCGATTCTCTTGTTTGTATGCATTGGTGTTGCGATTTTAGTTAGTTGGTTTGGTTCTATTTTGTTAAACATCCTTTTAATAGCTAAGGTCATTTAAGGACGTGCCTCCATGTGTTTTGTGTAAGTGTGCATGTGTATATTTTGCCTGAGACAGGGTATGTTGGTGTATTTGCCTCCTTGTGATGGCGCAGATGTGATGCCAACTTTAAAGTGTTACCTCACTGAAATACCATGCCGAAGGCACCCGGTACAGCATCTCGCCCAGACTCGTTATACTGACAACGGGGGAACCAGTTGTTGCCATTCTCCTAAATGCTGAATGCTTAGCAAGGAATAACAACTACCATTTTTAAGGACTTGGGTATGTCATGGCCTGGGGGACAGAAGTCACTGCCTTCCTCATCTGGGCGAACGTTTAAAATAAAGCCAAAAGTGAGTTATTGCCAAGCAATGCGGTAGGAAATAAAAGGTAATTAGAAGTAAAGAGAAATCTAACGATCTCAATTATTCAGCAATGGGTGCAATATATTTATTTCGGTCGTTTTTGTGTCCATAAGTAAAGGACACACAAGCAAATCCCCAATTATGCAGGGGGTTTCCACACATTAGTCGCCTCTTAAGATTACATGCCTTGGTTAAAAGCAGGTGTAATATTTGTATATATTATATATCTCCAATCTGCAGGTGTGGATGTCGACATATCTTCCTATTTTGAAATAAAGGTATTTTAACACATACATTTCGGGACAAGTGGTTCAGGTGTCTGACATTCTGCTAACACTAACCACTGGGTCACGGGTTCGAGACCTTCGTGAGGCAGTCGGCCGGTACTGGGCGATGGTCGGTGATTTCTCTCCGGGAACTCCGGCTTTCTACCACCATCAAAACCTGACAGGTCCTTAAATGACCATAGCTGTTAATATGACGTAAAACACAAACAAACCAAAAACATATTAAAAATATGATGTCAAATAACAACGTACAAATATAACGCCCGCTTACCTCTACTTTCAGAAAACTCAGAGAGCAAATAACTTTGAAATAATCTCTTTATAACATAACGCTTTTCTATTTTGTAAATAATTTATTTAACACTTAAATTATTTCTGATATTCCATACCAGATTCTTCCAAACATGGTTGTGCAGTTAACTAATAAAGTTTTTAAAAAAATAGAAGGAAATAAAGGAAGCACATACATAGCATTGCCTTGCGTCCAAGCTACAAGAACATATACTATGCATCTCCTTTTTCAAATCAAGAATTTAGGGCATGCTCTTCCAGTAATAAACGAAGTTTAACGCATCATCGTAAGTCTTAAAGGTCAATTTAATCTTTTATTTTTTCTTGGATACATACGGCAATCATTTGTACATTATACGCAATTCTTACAAACACACAGCTTTATTTAATTCAATATTAAACAAAGTTCGTATAATAATAAATATATGACAATTCATGCAATACAGAACACATTGTATTACATGATTATTGGCGATGACTTGTGAACCGCGGTTTCCTGGAGAGAGTGTTAAAACGTTGGTAACAGTTAGTGGTCTACCCCACGGTAAAACAACTCCACCCTTTCGGTCCAGCAAAACATCAAGCCGTATTGTGGTATCCGGTTATATGTACCTAAACAGGAAAATCAAAGTATGAACATTCATCGCACTCTTGTTTCGAGTAGAAAGTACCATTTTACGTTGTAAAATGTTTCTTTAGGCCGAAATAACTTTGGAAGCATTTCAAGATATATACGCTTTCTATAGGACATATTTAATCATTTATTTCATCAATATTAATCGGTAGAACAATTGTTGAATTTTTAAACATTTATCTACGTTAGAATACAGTAACAGACAAGTAACAATCGTACATTGCTTTGTAAACAGGTGAATTTCTTTGAAGACATGATAGTAGAGAACATGGTCTACAAAATAGCGTTATCAGTTTCAGTACGGCCTATTGATACAAAGGAAAATATTTTTACTATTTTAACTTAATCTCAATATTACCAAATGTCAGCTAATCTTTCTTAGAACAAAACATTCCTTTATCTGCATATTCTGAACTGCTTAATCAACATTTTTATCATCGTTATTATCTGTCAGAAGGACTACCCGGAAGAGAATAAACATTATAGAACACTTACCAGTTTTACTGATATAATCTGATATGTCACGATCTAGCTGATCGTCAATGATCCTTCAACTGTTGTAAGGATTCCCTACAGAAAAGATAGCGAATATCGTATCAAATGAATAACAAATAACTACACTTGTTTCTTACAAAAATACGACCATTATAATGTTTACTAAATCGTTTTTTATCAATTTCATCAAAGGAAAAACACTTTCTTTATGCAAATTGATTACATACCAAGTGTCACGTGAACAGAAGTAATACAGCTTTGGGCTTGGCATGCTGTTGAATGATGTAGTGAAGGATAACGAGTAGGCTCCAGTGTAATGAACATGCACCCACTCTCCAACCTCCATCAGTGGTAGAGGGATGTCAATGGCCACGCAATCAGTAGCGCAACATGTCGGACCCCACACAGTACTCGTATGGTTTTCGGATTGTGCCTACAGATAATGTAACAGTTGACGTCATTTTGCATACACATTGTACATTCACGACTTTTGTAAACTTTGTCAGTTAAAACACAGTATTGAATATTGTGACTCACTTTTATTTCGTTTACTTCATGTGTAACAAATGGTAAACTGATATATCATCACGAGAGAGGAGGTGCTTTTATACATAGAAGCCAATTCTATATACATGTGTGACAAAGGGGAAACAGGTAACTTAATTTATAATATACAATTCTGTATGCAATGTTTTCATTTAATTTTTCGTTTTCTCATCAGAAGATTGATTACTTTACTTTCATAAAGGAATACATACAATTCAAACTACAACGTACTTGCTAAAATATGATTTTTTCATCGGGGATTTGCTTAGTGTCCTCTAATAGGGGACACAAACGCGACCAAAATTGATCTGCTGCACCCATTGCAATAGTTTGGATCTTTATTTTTCTTTCTACTTCTAACTGCCTTTTATTTCCTAGCGCGTTGCTTGGCAACACCTCACTTTTGGCTTGAAGGTTGAGGGTTCGCACAGATGAGAAAGGCTATGGGTTCTGTCCCCAGGCCGGGACATACCCAAGTCCTTCAAAGTGGTAGTTGTTATTCCCTGCATTTCGGGGAATGGCAACAACTGGTTCATCCGTTTTCAGTATAGTGTGACCGGGCAGAATGCTGTGCTGGGTGCCTTCGGTATGGTTTTTCAGTGATATAGCACTATGAAGTCGGCAACATATCCGCGCTATCACAAGGAGACAAGCATTCCAACATACCCTGTCTCCTGCATACACACACGCAGGCACGCATGTACTACATAGATGGAGGCACTTCCTTAAATGACCTTAGCTGTTAATAGGACGTTAAACAAAATTAGCCAAACCAATCTTAATGTTGAAAGTATGCTACGAAATCCGTGGATAGGTAGAGAAGTCAACATTTAAAAAAAATGGAAACAAACCTTTCCAAGAACGGGTGTAATTAAAATTGCATCTCTGCCTTTTGCCCAATGAAACGTTCCATATACTCCATTGTTCACGTTATACATAACATGTTCAAGACTGGTTCTGTCTGAAACAGATAAATGGTACGCTATATGTACAAACACTCCCGCTAGTAAACTTATGATTTTGTTCATATTAGAGTTATGTTTACTATTACATCATCATACCCGAGTTCTGGTCCGATCGTCTAAATGAAATATGTTTTGCGTTAATTTTTTAATTTTTGGTTTATATGCATACATGCATACAGAATCTCTGAGGTACTTGTACAATTATGACTAGTTCAAATGTTTATTTTACGCTTTTCCATATTCACCCATTTGTTCGTTATTTTACTTATAACTTTACATCAATTGTTATAATTGCACAGGAAAACTCGTTCTAAATACGTAGCAAAATTGTTCATCGGCAACGCGTTTTTTAAAACAAAATGATTTGATCGGAAGTGTTGGGTAACAAATGGTTCGACAGAGTGAAATTAAAGCAAAGCACAGCTATATTTAAATAAGAATATTGTAAAAAGATATTGTTTGTTAGATTAAAGCACTAATGAAAAAGGCCATTGATTTGAAAGAGCATTAATCGATTATTCCGCATTTCATAAATATTTAACAATTGACATAAGAACGGGGATTCACAATCACATAGAGAATGGAAAAGATTAACTAGATAAATAAATCATCTGTCAGATTCAAAACTGTCATAGTTAATTAGTAAAATATATGTAACGGGCGTTTATCTGGAAATAAAAGGAAATTGACTTATTGCTCAAAATGGGTCAAAATAATTTAATTTCTTATGATGTCTCATGACGCACCACGCTTTAAGATTTATTTAACTTGCGAAACTAACTTCGACCTAATCATGTTAATTTTTGCAACACTCATACCTTATTTAACACAGGAAATGCTGACTTTAACAATTGAAAAAAAGTATGTTGAAGGGGATATGCTTAATATATGAAAATACAAACAAAGAAAGTAGGTTATGTGTACTGTAATAATGTCTTATCGCTAGAATTGTTGGCAAAAGCGAGGTCAAGAATTCATGCAAAGGTTTGTTTATACATCTTCTCACTGTATGTTTTGCAGCTCATTTCTAACAAAAACTGTATAAAGTGTGTACGTATCTTGGCGAAATAAACACCATATACACATACCATTATCATAGACAAACTTCCGACCTATGATACTGGCTGCAGCACTGACAGCAGTTTCTACAAGGTAACGTCCTGGCTCAGCGATTATTGTCACTCCGTCTGTTTCAGGGAAATATTCATCTAGACACTGGTTTATTACTTCGGCATTCTAAATAGAAACATTAAAAGATAAATCATTTAAAACGATATGCATACTTTCCGTATGATCACCACAATATCAACATATCATCAGTCCGGCATGAATACATTTTCCATTCTAATGATTCAAATAAAACATATATCGATATTAAAGTTGGCAATGGTATTTGTAATGCAATACACTTTATAAAAAGAGCAAATTTACGACATGTCATACTTTACAAGTGTACTTTCTTGCCACTTGTATTATACTGACCCATTGTTAAGTACATATACATATACATGTATATTACAACGTTTTGTAGTTAACAATACATTTACATAAATATGAGATCATCATAAAAGAAACATGTAAAGAAAAAAACATAAAAAAACGCTAGTTACTGACATCAAAATACAAATAAAATGTTATCTGCTGACTTCCGTATGTAAAACATTAGTAACACGCTTGTTGTGATGTTATGACTAGAATTGCGAAGATGATTTAAGGGATAAAGTGAACCGTTGTGTTGCGATTCGAACCATCGCCAGGAAACGCTCTCGCCTTTCACCAAGGCGGTCGAGAAAGGTATTGGGTTACCTGCACTTCCACGTGGATTCTCTCCTTCTATTCTGTTTTTTTACTCATATTAATTCTCACGGTGTCAAAATATCACTAATCAGAACGGTTCCTTCTATTCACTGCATCCAAAACAACAGTGTGTCTTGTGAAGCGACGATAGAACAACTATTTTTTATCGGTAGGTACATTCTATAACCAAAAAGATTTACCAAACCACACAATTGACAACACTTTGTAGATACCTAGCAGTAGGAGAAAGCAGTAGGATTACGTTGTAAAGTCCATTAAGAAATGCGCGTATTCTTGCTGTGTGGTGTGTTGTGTTGTGTGAAAAAGACGATACCATTACATGTACATGGTATTTTATTAAACTACAGATTAATATAAAGCAACAAATACAAAAAAAGACCAAAGGAATACCGAGTGTCAACAAAGCCACAGTTCGATCTGAAAACGATAACACGAGGACAACAAATGAAAAAAATGACATGGAGACCATTGAAAGAGTACATGGGGAAAACATCAAGATAAGCGTCTTCTGCTTCATCGACGACACCCTGTCAAATCCAAAACAAAATACATGTCTTAACATCGAGAACTCGGGTCGTGACATCAAAACCACAAGGCACTCTAATGAGCATAATAAAGATGACATTCATATCACAAAAAGAAATATAATATTTCCCTAAGATATGCAGATGTCTACCATAAAACTCGTCCATAATCCTCACCAATTAACATCTTTGAAACTATGTGTTGTTACATGTAGTACGTCATCAGCTGACTTCTAACACGGAATCTATAGACAAATCAGGTAATGATTAATGTTGTAATTTGCTTTTTTATATACCTCTTCTATAGTCGGATGATCAACATCTCTGCCTCTGTATCCACCTCCAATGTCAAGAATTTTCATATCAAAGCCGACCTGTAGTCCTACGTCAAATATCATCCGTGCTTCTTTGATCGACGAGGAATATGCGTTGGCATTTCGACAGTTACTTCCAACATGAAAACTGCAACATTACATGACATTAATGTGTAAAAGGATTGGGTTTTGAACACTTACTTGCTGTATATATTTACGTATTTACGTTTCGTAATACGGAGTTCGTGTTGTGATCATCGGCTCCTTATCGTTTACCTGGGGTGTTCCCGTTGGGGATTACCTTCCGGTATTATATTTAGACGTTTCTGATTGGCTAATATTTTTAGGGTATGTTACCTTACCTGTACAGCACTCTACGCTCAGGTTTGGGTCAGTATCGAGTTCAAATACTACATTGCACGTGCATTTCGAGGCATACAATAAAATTTGGCTATATAGCTGGGTGTTTTGGTATTGTAAATCAGTCTGGCAGAGGCTTTCATGTAGCTGGCCGGCTCGTCTTTTCCCTTCTTACGGGCAGGTATGTAGGAGTTTTTTTGGCCTTGGACCTCAAAAATATTCCGGGCTGGTTGGTATTTTCTAGTGTAGGCATGTTTTGGTAGAATTATCTAAGCGTTAATGTGGAATGGTTATTTTCCCGTTGTAGGCATGTTGTAATATATTATCGGGGCGTGTTAAAACTGATTCCCCGGGGTGTAATACCGGGTGGACATTTTTGAGAGGACATAGTGTTACACGGATATACTGTTTTAAGTATGGGCCGGTCGAGTGGTTGACGTTCTGTAGTATTGTGCATATTTATTCATCATGTTTCATCTAATTTACCTCAATGTTTCATTTTGTACATAATAAATTGTAGAACTTTATAAAACGCGTTGTCATTCATTGACCTGTAGCCAGCTGAAGTTAAATCGAGACAGAACCAAAGAGTTGACGAACGAAAAATCACTATACGAGGACAAAACTTTTACAAATGTATATATTTCGGTGAAAGCTGATCTAAAACTATCCTTATTCTATAGTATGTCAATCAACATCTCTGCGTCTGTATTCACCTCCAATGTCACGCTTATCCATAGCAATGCCTACCTGTAGTCACATGTCAAATATCCGCCGGACATATTTTATTGACACAGCAAATGTGCCGTCAATGGCACAGTTACTGCCGACATGGACACTTAATGATAATGAATTTATTCCAAAGCGTTGCGATTATTAACACAGTATGACTCCGCATGCTGACTGTCATAGCCAAGTCAAGAGGAGACTCAAGCAAAAAAAAGTATTGATATAAATTTCAACAGTTCGAAACTTTATTTCACTAGCAATTGGTTAATACTTAAATATTCAGGTTTGCAACATACCACACACCAACGATGTCCAAGCCTTTGGTCTTTGCAGATATAAATAAATCCTTTGCTTCTTCGAAGAGACATCCAAACTTCTGTCCTAGGTCATACGTTACTTTAAAAGAATGTTTTGTTCGAAATCGCAACACTAATCTGCAACACAATTAATTGCTACAATACAAATGGAAGGCATTGATGTTGAACATTTATGAATAGCTTTGACTTCACGTATGGTTGTTTTCGAGCGTATTTGTATAAATCCCTTCTCAAACAGAGTTGTTATTGCGGATCAAGATTGAATGCATGAAATTATGTTACCAAAATATTTTCTGTCGTTTGGAAATTATCCTGCTTCATGAAACATTCGCTTCCACGAAAATGACCCTGACAGACACATTCAATTTGTATTACTACCTACCTTGCTGATCCATACAACATCTTTATCTTGATCAATTCCTCCTCACTGTCAAATGTCATCAGATCTACATTGTGCTCCTTGGCGTAAGTAAGATGTGAGTTTTGTTTACAGGGATTGGCGTAGATGATGCGAGACGGATCGATCCCGAGCTCTAACACCTGCTGTATCTCAGACTACTCTCAAATGAAAAATAATGTTTTTGTAACTATGCAAAAATATTTATCATAATAATGAATGGAATATAAAATATAAAATCCAATTCCATGCGAGGTTGATGACAACGGTAAGAAAAAGTTTTAAGCTTCGGCCGTTTTATCAAATGAACGAGAATGTATTAAACTATTTACGTTATGGATGTCGAATTAACAGTATATCTGTTGTTTTCTTACATCATTATACACTATGTATCATGACGTCACGGATCAACTAGTACAGGAAGAAGTACTCACCTTGCTCGCACAGTCAAAACTGCTCCCCAGTTTTACAAGGACGTCAATGATCTTCTCATTACTGTTGCACTTTAAGGCTGTGGTATTAGAAAGTTAAACGATTTTTCATTTGTTGATAGCATATCATGAACCGTTTGACATATTTGGAAATAAAGGAGAAGAAATATATGCTTTTGCACTTAAACATTTCCATGCCTTCAAACTACTCCAGTATCCGTTCTTACTCCGATGGTTGGAATTGCATTACAATGAAAGTACAATGTACTGCGTATGACGCTTTGTTAAGAGTAGATAAAGTGTTTTTAAGATGGAGAGATTTCAGCAAGCAATAATAAAGATTACGATACCGTAAAATAGCTCCACCCTAGGAAACAGATTGTACCATTTTCTGTACCTCTCCACAACTTTGTCAATATCAACGATAAGCAGAGGATCGTCAATTCCCTGTGAAAAACAAGTATCTAATTCACTTATTGATTTAATAACAAAGAACAATAGTGCACAACAACGAAACGGTATGGTACAAAGATATTCACGTACAAGTGAACAGAAAGTGGTAAATGACCTCTGTATCGTCCAATCTTTAAGATAAAAGGATATAACACAAAAGAAATTGTATACAAGTTTTGCTACAAAACAGTACCATCAAATAGGCCTATTCCCCATGGAAAATTTTCACTGAAAGGCCAGACCGACAGAAAAGTGAAATCAAATCTTATATAATCTTACCAGTTTTGTATGGTATGAAACCTGTTCTTTGATGTAGTCTGCACGGGTACGTTTTACATCGACGATCTTCAAGTCGTTATCTGCCATTATCTTCAAGAAAAGGAAAAGAGAACCTTGAATAGCATGATTATATAATCATATAATGGTTTGTTCACAAAAAACAGGCTGCTTTCTTGAATAGTTCCTGACTAGTGTATCCCTAATTAATTGGTATTGGTGTAGTTTTTTGCGACAAATGCTGTTACATGATATTTTCATAGTTGGGTATTATATGTCTTGTGTTGATTAGAGGAAAATAAACCGTCGCACCAGGGTCCTTTTACAGACTTTAATGAAGAGTCGGGGACATGGTGAAAACACATCCAGCCTTATAGCGTGTGTGGTCCAAGTTGCAAGGTTGCAGGTCACCCAAAACTAGTATTATAGCTGACAGCTGTTTTACCTCAGAAACGTTCTGATGACATAACTTGTGTGAAGGATTGTGTTATGTTGTTTTACCTACTTTTGACAATTGTTAATATCCATTACCGCAAGAGACCATTTTTATTGACTACAACTAGACATGTAAATATGATCACTAAAATGATCACGCTTAAGAAAGAAACAGTCATCAAAATGCCTCTCGACGTCGCCACAATCTCGTCCTCCCATCTCCATTGGCATTGGTACGATTACTGTAACTTCTGGCGGGTTTTACTTCATGTACCAAATCCTGAAGTAACGTATGACTGCATTCGACGAGCAGAAAGATTTCCGGTCAACACAATTTCGCTCCATTCTACTACCAGCTAACACGTAATTTTACAAACAATAATATAAGTGTTTCTACTGAAAGACATATAAATGTTTCTTTTCTCGTTGAATATATATTATTAATGTAATTATGTTATTCAAATGGGCCCTCTTATTCGGAAACATCCCCTTGTTCTCAAATAAGCTTAATAAGAAATGAGGGAGCCGCCAGTGTACGTTTTGATCTTTGACAATAGGTTCTTTGTTTAATATAGGTGAACCCATTTACCATGTCAACACTTTATGTGACTATCAGTTTTAAAGTAAGGATTTTGAAAGCAAAACGTTTTATTATCACCTACATATCTATATATCAACCATTGCACTAGCTTTTAGCTCCCTGCAGGCATTCGTACAGCGAAATTTAATTTTGTGTAATAAAGACTGACATTTTATGAACCAAGCCCCACAAGATAGGGTTGTTTCTCCCCACTAAGTTAATCCGTAATTCACATATATAGCCTGAGCTTTGAACGATCCCTTGTTCTAACGTGACCATCCTGCTCGATACAAATACATATAGCTACTACCGTTCATGTAAGATGGCTGGTAAGGGAGACATGTATACTGATACTGCACGTACGCAGAAATACTTATCTGATGTCGTTTGAAAGGGGCCTTAAATTAAAACCCTACATTGCGTGCTAAGAATCATTGAGCCTCCCCCTGTAAAATGATTGTTCATAAGGATGTCGGTCAATCGCAATATCTACACCAGTCACGAAATCCACCGCTAGCATCTATGCAGGGTCACAACTATGTACCTGCCAGTACATGTTTCTCTGTTGACAAGTGTGCATGTCACACATTACACAGAAGTATCCCCTTGTACCGTATACGTAATGCAGTGTTTTAAATAGTCTAATATGTCCACCTTAGGTTTAACAACCCAGAAACGTACACACTATGTCATCATATCCCTATATAAACAAAATAAAACGATAAAATAAGCGATATTTGGTCCGTTTGCATTCCTATCGGCTGTCCTTATATAGTTTACTTTCACGTGGCAGTATGTAATTGGAAATATGTTGGAGGTAATCACACTATACGATCGATATTTATTCAACCCAATTATTACTCACCTGAACAGCAATTGAACAAAGATGTTGTGTCGTGTTATTTTAATCTGTATGTTAATTAAGCAATGAATGTAACAGTACAATGAATACACTTTTCACATCAATGTAATTATGAAGTATTTTACTGTATGTTTTTGTTCTAGTTTTATTCGTCTGTCGAAAGAATGTATTGTACTGACCTGTTAAAATATTGGATTTCCACGGATTTGTACGACCTCCAAACCAGTAAGGTATGATGATGATGGTATCAACTGCTGTGCGCTAACACCAATGAAGTTAATAGACAGGAATCACTCTTGCTGATAGATATGCGTACGTTTTTAGGTTGTCAACCTTTGAACTGTCTCTATTTAACACAGTCTATAAGGGCAGCTGATAACCTAAAAAATAGCTCGTTTATTGTTCACGTCGTAAATAACTAAGAGATTGAGCGAGGACTGTATATATATACTGCATCACAAGGTAGGCGTGCCACAATATGTGACGTGACCTTTGACCTGATCACATGGTCCTTCAACTTGTTTAACAAGATTGACAGAGACTGGATATCTGGGAATTTCAAAGGCTAACGACAAGAAATTCAGATAAAAGAGTTGTATTCTAGAAAGAAAGGATATGGCTTAAGACTGTTCTTTGTTCAGTTTTATTTAGTTTATAATTGTAGAATGTTGTTTTAGAGTTTTGACTGACAGTATTGAGCTGCATATACAAAGAAAGCAGGTTGGAAAACGCGATGATTACATTACTTTATTATATTTACAGTATTTTACATAAACGTTTTTCAGGTTATATGCGTAAATATATTGTAATGAAAGGCGGTTGAAAGACGTACACAAGGAGTCCATACATACAAACACCATGTTTTTTGTTCAACGTGTATAAGAAACATGCATTGTCAGCTGCATTCTTTGTTAAATGATGTCGTTGCTGTCAGATATATAAATATAAACTTTATTTAGTTTACCACAAATATGAAACAATTTATTTTAACTTATATGAATCACTCTTGTTGGGCCGAGTGTTAGCGAACCCCGGCCACCTTGGTGAAATGTAAGTGCGCTATCCGACCACCCATAGTGCTGTCAGATGACTGTAGTATGACAGCATCCTTTTTTGAAGGATTTTACAAAGATTACCGTCACGCTAGGTCATTGAGTAAACCGTCATTCTGTCTATACAATATTAAATATATATTATGCTACCACATCGGCGATGAAGCGATACATTTCATTGGTAATAATATCGCACTATTGGATATGTATTGGTTGGCAAACGGAGCTTGTGCATGCATTATTTTCCAACAATCCATGGACGTGCAACACTTTTCCAAAAGCCTTCCCGACTTTGCAAGTGTAAGACGGTGAGCCGTATGTGATTGTCTAGCACAAATTGCTTTGGCGAGTGAAGGGATTTCTGTGCATGTGCAAAAAAAATGGTTGCAACATACATCCACGTCAAACTAGTGTGGCCAACTTAATATTGAACATATTATAGTATCTAGGACACATCAGCTCGAAGGCTCTACAGAAGAAACAAAAGTACCTTTAGTTTTATTTTCAAATAATCAAATAGATATAATCAACATATGATAAAATATCAATTTTGTTAATAATTCAATCAGACCGAAGCAGCTGTCGTTAATGCTCTTTTTCCATTATCTCATCTTTGCTGTATATTCCATCTTATATTATTCCACGTTTATTTTTTTTAAATACTAACAGTCTGCAGTGTACATATCTACATATGCCATGCCATCATGTGACTGTTTGAGTGAATGGTAGTAATAGGCAGTGTTAATGAAATGATTAATGTAGGATTTTGTACACTATTACGAAACTACTTTTTGGCATGTTGGATGACGAAAAACTTAGATAAACAAAAACTAGACGGTCGTGTTCAAATATACTTTTGCATCAGACGAATATTTTCCTAGAAAGCATTTAGACACATACACTTTAGATTAAAAAAAGGGTTCTACTAACTTTTGTCTTTCTACCAAGCGAACAGTGTAACCCTAAGATATTAAATATAAAATCAAATGGTATAACATCTAACTATCAATCCAATACCATGAGTTGAATTCGTGTTTATAAATATGCCGTTAGTTTAAACTATGATAAAATAATTTCGAGAACTCTATGTATTACTACAGTTGCTGGATCGTACAACGTTACATGATGTACGGTGTGCGCGCAATGTACGGTGTGCGAGCAATGTACGGTGTGCGTACAATGTGCGCACGGAGTGTGAACGATATGTGCACGATGTGCGAACGATGAAAATCTGGACGATTATTGCTTGCGTACATTTGTGCGGACGATGGACTAACGTTGTGCGATGACAATCGTGGTTGATGTAAATTAAGAAACTGCTAACAATATATACGGCTTCGTGTTTAAACGTTTAAACATATACACTTGATTTTAAGTACATTTTTATATTCTAGCTACACAAATAAGCTGATCTTTCTATCTATATTTTAGACGACCCAAAACGACACATGTAGAATATTGAGGTTTTTGAAGTAAAACCTATTTCCATGATGTAATACTTACCATCCAGTTCGGGATCCACCCTTAGCATCAGAGCCAATCTCCACCGGGGGATCCGGAAAAGGCTCTGGCGCTCCAGGAGGAAGTAAGGACCATGCTTACCAAGGGCGCGGTCGAGGAGGTTCCTATGTCGGTATGCACTCCCGGGTTCTACACCAGAATGTTTCTGGTTCGGAAGAAGTCCGGGGCATGGCGTCCCATCATAGATCTAAGTGCCTTCAACAGGCACTTAGATTCTCCTCACTTCAAGATGGAGACTCCTCGGGGTATTATCGCCTCCGTGAGAGAGGGAATGTGGGCGACTTCTGAAGATCTGAAGGACGCCTACTTTCACATCCCCATCAAGAAGTCGGCACGGAAATACCTTCGTTTTACGTGCAACGGAAAGGTCTTCTAGTTCCGGGCCATGCCATTCGGGCTTACGACTGCACCTTTGGTTTTCACCAAGCTGCCGCAGATTGTCGTGGGATTCCTGCACTCTCGAGGAATAGATGTTCACATCAATTTCGACGATCCCTCATGCTCCACCTAGTGTGGGGGTCTCTGGTGCAGGTACCTGGTTGGTTTTGAAAGTCTTACTTAAGGTCGGCTTCATTCCTTCCAGAGAAAAGTCGGAAGGGACCCCATCTCAGGATTTTGTTTTCCTGGGGAACCGTTTCAATACGGTTCAGGGCATCGCCCTTCCACCGATGGAGAAGTTCGAGAAGGTCAGGACTTTTGCTCTGACCTTCATCGGCCGGTCTCAAGTCCATGTACGTTGGTTTCTCAGTTTTCTGGGATATCTCAACGCCCTGGCCGATGTGGTCCCCTTAGGGAGACTTCACATCAGGCCTCTCTAGATGTTTCTCCTTGACAACTGGGTCGCTTCTTCAAGGGATTGGGAAGCCTTGCTTCCTCTGAACCAGTCGGTCAAGGAGTTCGCACGCTGGTAGACTCATCAGGACAATGTTCTCCGAGGGGTTCCTTTGTCCAAGCCGGTACCCACTATGACCCTGTACACGGATGCATCCATGACAGGGTTAGGGAGCTTACCTCGACGGGCAATGCCGGTCGGGGGAGTGGTCTTGGGAACAGCTCTCGGAGCACATCAATGTGCTCGAGATGAGGGTTGTTTTGTTGGCTCTGTTGGCTCTTCGGGAGATCCTGCATTCGAACCTGGCTTCAGGTCGAAGGAGGAGTGAGATTCATGCCTTGTCCTCTCACCCATCTTGCCTCCGGTGGTCCTCTTGCCTTCCCGTCCGATCCTACTAAGATTCCGTCTTTGACTGCCTCGTTCGGTCTGAGGAACGGGATAGGTTGCTCTGTCCCTGTCAGAGGCTTACGTTTTACCTCGATAAAACCAGAGGGGGGGGGGGGGTCCTCGATCCCGTCATCAATTACGGTTACGACCACTCAGATGATCAGGTTCGGGCGTTGTATAAGATGAGAGCTAATGATATCAGGGCCCTTGCTGCGTCATTGGCCCTCCCCAATGGGTCCCCCTTTCAGGAGGTCATGTCCGCGGCTTTCTGGCGCGGACAGACTACCTTCACGGATTTTTATCACCGGTCCTTGGCTTCTCATTCTGACGGATTGTATTCCCTTGGACCGGAAAGACGACTACCCACATGAAGATCTGGTCGAGGCAGATCGAGACCTTGCCAAGCAAGAGAACCGTCAGCTGACCCGAAGCCTAATCCTGCAGGAGAAGGACCTAAGCTTGAGCCGAGAGGACTGCAGTCCCCCCGGCCAAACTCGTCATCTGACACGACCAAGGAGGGAAGAAGAGAGTCAGGAACCCTTCTTCTTACCCCCAGGAGGGTTCGTCACCTTCTTACCCTTCCCTTTATAGCCCTTGAAGGGAGGCTTACACTTGGGCTGCGCAGAAAATTGCGAAGCCGAAGTTAACTTCTTCTTAGGCGGCGCTCTCCCCTGCGAGGTACTGGCCATCTCAGCCTGAATCCTCTTCATCAGAAGTGCAGAGGCGACCGGGCCCTCCTTCAAATCCTTCTGAAAAGAAGGGAGGGCCCCTCCAAACAGAGTGGACCCTGAGAAGGGGGCAGTCAACAGTCGGGAGCGGTAAGGCTCATCGACTCGGCGGTTTTTAAAAACTGAAAACCATCTAGCCAACAAGACATTGACGAGCGATGACACATGTAAAGCTGCCAGCGCTCTCATTGCCCCATTCAGGGCAGAAGTCACTCTGTCCTGGATATCGGCTTGCTCTGTCTCGGTAATCCGACCCTCAGGCAAGTCGGATACCCTATATAGACAAACAGTCAGGTAGTCTATATAAGACAGAATCTGGATGGAGAGACGCATCAGTCTCTCCATCATGTGGTGTTTTTCGGGGCCGAACACCACCTGGTCCACCGATTTACCGGGCCATGCTACAAGTTACTTCGATTCCAGCTTAGCTGGTTGAGGGGCAAGCAGGCCATCATGTACGGCATAGTCAGTGGCGTGCACCTCCGACAAATCGCCAACACTGAGCTGCAACCGAGCATACCCTTGACTACGGGTTGAAGAAGAATTCTTCTCTAAAACCAGAGACTGGGCGGTGGCCAGAGCTGAAGACACAATAGTGCCTTCTGGCAGAGAGCGGTCCGACTGAGCGGACACCCGAGGAGCCACCAAAGAACCCAAAAGGGTGGTGGACTCGGGGAGAGATGAGGGCGAAGGTGGTTCCCCAAGAATCCGGGAAACGTTGTTCCTAAGGCCCTGCATACCGGACAACACATGCTGGGCCTCAACCTCAGCAGCCTAAGGGTCACCCTCATCCTGGACATCCTCCTCAGAGGGTAAGCCGTACTGAGGACCGTCATCTGACGACTCGGAAAGACCAGCGTCTATATCTAAGCAACCAGTTGAAAGATGAACAATAGCATCGTTATCTGCAACACCCGCGCCCTCAACGTCCATAGCCTCCACA